ACAGCAGCAAGACCCCTAACATGCTGTCTTCAGTTGCTGCTTTTCTCTCCCTCTTTGGAATTTTGTATTTGTAAACTCTTGTTAGATATTGTACCAGAACCTCAAACTCAATACTAAACTTCCAAACTAACCTTCCCTGCAGACCTGCAACTCCTTACTTTCCTATTTATGTAAAGACCACCCTCTGTCCTAGAAACCATTTTTTATTTCTTCCTATCACCCACTTCCTGAGTTATCCTTCCTCTGGCTGATTCCATTATTAGCTTCCTGAAACTCATGTACCCTCAAAATAGACATATATTAACCAGCAATAGAGGATTAAATTTGGGATCATAAAGTAGAATATTTTTTAAAGGGAAAAGTTATATTTTGTTGCTTGCAGTATAAACAGAAGTGAATAAGCCAACATTGCAGATTTTGATTCTTCGGTTAAGGGACTGAGTTCTCAGGCTGTCCTAGAGAAAGTTTCTCTCTCTCCTAGTTCTACCTTTACCTCCTGAGGCAGCCACATTGTCAGTGTTCCCTTAGGCTAGATTTGACAAAATAGTTTAGGCTCTCTTTAAATAAGGAGTAACTAATAAAAGGTAGAAGATATTTTGTGCCCATGGATACACACACTCAAAGAAAGCAGCAACAAATGGAGTGGGGACAAACAGGAAGAAAGCTCTGTTTGTACTGTATCTACAGGTAGTTAACATATTAAGTGCTGATTGCCACATTCATCCTTCTTTTCATCTGGTTTAGTCCCCTTTATTGTCTATTCATCTTTTCTCAAATCCCTAACCTTTCTTTCACTGATTTCAAGGGGATGTTTGTCCTAACTGGCTTTCACTCACATCCCCAACTAGCTTTCACTCTGGAAGCAGCTGATATCATTGAGTGCCAGCTGTTCCTCTTAAAGATACATAGTATCTCAGCATTGAAAGAGGTAGACAGCATTTCAATTCAAAATATGCCACAGCTTCCTATCGAATATCACTAACTTAAACTGGACAAAGATCTTTTCTCAGGAGCTTCTTAAATATGATTTATACATGAATAAAGACAAAGGAGATGGCCAGAGGTGTTGGCTCCTTTTCTGAGATCTGCTTGTTCTTTCTCACTATCAGCAGAATATCTGATCTCAGGGCAGAGACTTGAGCTGTCCAGAGTTTTTTGGACAATGTTTAGGAATGAAGAACTCATGTTCATCAGGCAGTTTAAGGAAGTCCTTGGTGACTTCTGGAATAATCCTAGGATCTGCGTCCACATGAGTGGTCAATGAGTTATAGGTGTTACTGAGTTGGGAGATTCTGTTATAGCAGAGTTTCCTCAAGCTTTGCACTTTTGACTTTTTGGCCAAATAATTTTTGTCTTGTGCATTGTAGGATGTAGCATCCCTGATTTCTATCCAGATGTAGCATCCCTGATTTCTATCCACTAGATGTGGCACTTTCTTAGCTATAACAACCAAAAATTTCTCTAAATATTGCCATACCCCCCACCCCCCACCAAGGGGAAAAATTGCCCCTGGTTTAGAACCGTTGTGGTATAGTTAAGAGGTGGTAGATGGTGGTTACTTAGCCCACATCTTAAAGATTAAATGCATGTTTTCTATGTTCCTTATTGCCATTTTTGGACATATGTTGTACTTTAAATATAGTAGCATTTCTCTATACTAAATTTATTTTGTAATTCAAGTTAATTTTCTTGTTATATTTACATATTGAGTCATAACATACTTTTCCCCTTTATTTAACAGCCATGTAGAAAAACATCCAGTTTTTCAAAGTTCAACTCCATGGAACATCACTTACTCTCACTATCTGAAGTCTTAAAACAAGAACAAACTATCACAAATAGAAAGTCAGGTGAAGAAGCTAATTAATGGGGAAGATGAGTTCTATTTTATTGAGGGAAATTTGAAGTGATGGTAGAGTATCTAAATGCTATGTCCAGCAACTACTTGAAGAGAGGTTGGCTACAGACCTGGGAGTCAACAATACAGTTAATAACTGAAATTATGAAGTATCCAAGAAAAAAATGAAAAAGCTCAGAGGACTGAAGACTAAGCCTTACCATGGAGCTATGGAAATGAAACAGGCAGAAAGAAAAGAGAATATTTATTGGTTGAAATAGTGAGAGCTAATGACTGAATAGGTGAAAGGCAACCTTGCCACAGGGGTATCAGTAAAGCTCAACAGTAGGAAAAAGGAAGGAAGGAAGGAAAGAAGGGGAGAAAGATTCTGTCCACCAGCTGTATATTTTAGAAGATCATTGCAGGGACTTGTGGAAAAGTAGTCGGTGGGCTTTTGGTTTGGAGAAAGGGATTGAAAAGGTGCCTGATAACTTGTCAGCCTTGACTTAAGCATGTATTCTAAATAAGACTTCCTTGGTTGTAATCTACTAAGGATAACCTGAAGAGCAACTGTTCCCTATCCTGAATAAAGTAAGTCCTAGAACGAAAGGAAAAGGGTGCCCAACGTAGTAATCCCCATCTTTCTGTTGTCCCTATGTTCTTATTTTCTTTTTTTAAAAAATTAAAATGTTTATTCATTTTTGAGAGAGAGAGAGAGCGCGCACACATGCACACAAGTGGGGGAGGGGGGCAGAGAGAGAGAGAAGGAGACAGAATCCAAAGCAGGCTCCAGGCTCCTAACTGTCAGCACAGAGCCTTGACATGGGGCTCCAACCCACGAACTGCAAGATCAGAACCTGAGCTGAAGTCCGCGCTTAACTGACTGCGTCACCCAGGCACCCTTTCTTTTTAACTTTCATATCATCATTTGCTACTGCTCTTGAGAAGATAAACGCATGCCTACTGAAGGAGAAATAGAGATTGAAAGGATTTTATTGTTATATACTAAGAGTGGTATCCATAGATCATTGGAACTGTCACCTAATTATTGCCAGGAAAATTAGGGTAAATTCCTCTAGAGCCAAATCACCATTTATAGAATTTTATAAATATATCCAGTTGACTTATTTTCAGTGTCTTAGAATGGGTTAAATCATTCAGGTCCCTGGGAATACAGTTAACAAACAATTCAACTTAAAAGGTTTATAAGGAAATTTCGTGGCTCAAATTTAAGCATCAAAAGGGCATTTTACTAAGGTGTTTCATTTTTCCCCCTACCACACATTGGCAATATGTGGCCCATGCTTTAGTAATGTCTGCTTTAAGGAGCACCTGGGTGGTTCAGTCAGTTGAGCATCCTACTCTATTTTGGCTCCTCTCTACTTAGGCTCAGGTCATGATGTCACCGTTTGTGGGTTCGAGGCCTGCGTCAAGCTCCGCAGTGTCAGTGCGCAGAGCCCATTTGAGATGCTCGGTCTCTTCTCTCTCTGTTCCTATGCACCTCGCTCTCTCCCAAAATAAATAAATAAACATTAAAAATAATATCTGCTTCAAACATTTTTAAAAGCTTATCATTATGCCATGTTCCACAGCACAGACAGTTAGAGACTCTGTTCTCCATTTGTCTGGGCGCTTTCTGGGGAAAACAGTTCTGAGTCTCCTGACAGCCAAGACAAAAAACGGAAAACACTACTGAGTTATACTTTTACGTCTTTGTATGATAAAAGAAGTATCTCTCAGAAGAGACTAACTTCCTCTCAGCGTCAGTGTGAAAGGAAAGGTGTATCACCTGAGACAGATGAAGGAACACATGACGCCAGCGGCCAAACGTCGTCTTCTGCCCTGAGCAGAAGCTAAAGCCACTTGCTCTATACTCTCTGCCGTCTAAGAGAAGAGAGCTACAAGAGGCGCTTGAGAAGAAAAGCAGTGAAGCATTTTGGAGTTTCAGACAGACACCAGCTACCGAGAGATCATTAGGGACCCCAGTGGCATAAAAATCCAGGGTGGGCACACTGATCCTTACTAAAGATTGAGAACCAGACACTTTTTTGCTCCGCACAGTAGCAATAGGAGTGTGCACGTGACCGCCTTCCTCGCTTTTGGTGAATTCCAACTCCCTCAACAGGAGCCCAAGTTTTCCTTTCCAGCTCCTTCGCCTTGCACCCGAAGCACAAACCCAACAGAATGCATACCAACCCAACTGATGCCAACAGAGGAATCATGGACAGTGAAATTTCCCTGAGGCGAAGAAGAAGCGAAACTTTCCGCTCAACCAATCAGGTGAGAGGAGATCTGGGCACACCCCTTTCTTCCTACCAATCAGCACCCAACTCGATAGGCCGGGCCCATCGACACCGGGAAAACACCTTTTAAATTTTACTAGTATAGCTTTTTTCCCCACCGTCATTCTAGGCCATCCCACGAACTGTGCTCAAAAGAGGAAAACTGAGTGTAACAATTCCAAAGCTGGTCATTCTGGAGGAATGACCTCTCCATCAAAAACTGATTCTAGGAGGAACAGGGAATGGGAGAGGAGCGTTCCAGAGGGCAAACTACAACTCCCAAGAGGCCTTGCGCGGACGCCGGCAAGCCCTGGGCGAGGGGCCGGACCTACGCGGAAAAGACCGCTGAGGATCACGGGGCTCCTCTCCGACTTCCTGAATGTGAGCCATTGACCGCGCGGACTTTGAGGTGGGCGGGGCGGCGGCAACACCGGCTCTGGAGCTTTGTGTCCTCCCCCCCTCCGGCTGCTCCGGCAGAGACGTCGGAGGGGGCGTGGCCCGCGCGGAGGCTGGTGGGGGCGCGAGCGCCGCGGGACGTGGGTGACGCGTCTACTTCCAGCTCAGCGGTGTGTGAGGTGGCGCGGCCCCGCCGGCGATTGGCTGTTGGGAGACGAGTACGCAGCGGCCGTTGGTCGCCGGCAGCACGGAGGGAGAGCCGGGGCGGGCGGGGGGGATATGGGGCGGCAGTGGCGGCGGCGGCTGGAGGAGGCGGGCGCGGACGAGCCGGCGGCTGCGGCAGCAGCGGCAGTCCCAGGAGTCTCCCTGTGAAGTGCCCCTGTCGGCGCCGCCGTGGGCCCCTCGGAGTGGGAGGCCAGGACGCGAGCCGCTGAGGAGCCGCTCCCCCAGTGCCGCAGCCCTAAGGACTCTAGGTCCCATCCTCTCGCTCCTGCTCCGGCTCCTCCATCTTGGCCTCGGCAGTGGCGGCTGCCGGGAGGATGTGCCGCCTTCTGGCAGGGGGAAGGAGGAGAAGATGAAGAAGTACCGGCGGGCCTTGGCCCTGGTCTCCTGCCTGTCTCTGTGCTCTCTGGTCTGGTGAGTTGCCGCGACCATATGGGAGTTTCCCGTGAGGGGAAGAGGGGAGCAGCCCGGGTCACACACCCCCACCCCCAGTCATCTTGGCTTTTAGGGTGCGGGGTCTCCAATGCCCTTACGGAGCGACACACGGATTACTTCGCGCCTCTCCCTCCGGCCGGCCTGACTGGGCTCTGGGAGGTGTTCACGGTGTGTTTTAGAACGTACAAAGTGGGAGAGAGAGAGGTGCCTGAGCAGAAGGGACCACCTGAGTGCCTTTGTACTCGGTTACTGTGCCGCTTGGAGACGGCGGGGTGTTTGGGTAGTTGTCGGATAGGTGGTAGGTTAAGTTAGTTGCCCGGGTTTGCTGCCAGCCGCTCGCTTTCGTGGTGTGATACGGGCAGAAAGAGTGTCGTATGTGGTGTGTTGCCGACGTGCGATTTTTAAAGAAAACGTGATTGTCACGGGGGTGAGAGTAATGTACAAGCCGTAGTTTGGAGCCACTAGCTGACTTTGGCCTCGCGTGCGCTTCGGGCTGCTGTTCTGGAAACTTTGGGGGACGTTAGAAAGCACTTTCTCAAGAAAGCAGGTGATGGAAAGCCGTTGGGTTAGAGTGTCTTCGGTGTAGTGTGTACGGTACTTTCTGGTGGTGTGTGGCTTGGAGGCTGTCCCTTAGTAATGGGACGATACGTCCTGTATTTTGAAGGCGGGAAGAATGCTTTGTTCCTAAAGTTTATGGAGTTTCTGTTGATCCTTGGCATATTTGGGCGTCTCTGAGGCGCAGAGAGAGCTTGTCAGTGAAAGGGTTGCCATCATTGTACTTGGAAAAGACATTTCCCCCTTCCGACGGAATTTCTTTAGAGACGTGTGACTTCAGCTGACTGGAAAGATGCTTCTTGGGTCAGAGTGATTTGCTGTTTATTATATGAAAACCTAGAGAAACTAAGTTTCTTGTTTTGTTTATCTCAGGAAAACACCCACGCTATCTTCATTTTTATGGGTGCCCAATAGGTTACCAGGATAAAGAAGTTGTAGAGTTGTTGCTCACATAATAAATAAGAGGGAAAGAAAAACACTTGCCTGACTGAGGAATTTTGATTGGAAGATTGATAGAAGTTTTAGAGAATAAACCATTTGGCCTTTTGACTTTAATTCCAAACCCTTTTAATAGGACTATTGTCATTCCCCCTTTTCTACTTGTTAGTATCATGTTGGGTATGAAGCAGTGTGTGCAGTAGGTGAGTCCACTCACCGCCTTTTACATTTATAAATTTGCAGGTGAGATACCAGAACCTTTTGTTCATACCCACCTTTTCCCGGGGGCTGCTTGGTAGTTTATAGGTTACGTATCGTTTCTTTCCTCTTTCTCCTTGGTTTTGCCCATCTTTAGACCATGTTATTCTTCACCAGCACTTTCTGAAACGGCTTCTACAACGAGGGTTACGCTTTTCATTCAAGTTTAAAATGTACCAGTATCTCTGATTTTTTAAATTGAAATATATGTGACATGTAGCATTGTGTAAAGGTGTACAAGATGTTGATTTGATACATTTATATATTGAAATTTTATTGGCATTGTAGTGATAGTTACTACCTTTATCATGTCACATAGAATGATCCTTTTTTTTTTTTTTGTGGTCAGAATAATTAAGACTTAGTCTCAGAGGAAGTTTAATGATTGTTATACAATATCCTTATCTATATGCACTATACCCCACACCAGATCTTCAGGAGGTAGTTATCTATTAGTTGCAAGTTTGTATCCTTAAACATGATTTTTTTCCCTTAAATTTTAAGTGGATGGTAGAGATGAAATCAAACATTATAATGTATTTCCTAAAATCATTTGTGTATTTAAAGTAACCATGCTTCTGTTTCTTTGTGTAACTGCTGGCTATCTTTTGTTCAGGCTAATTTCAGTATGGTTTCTCAGCTTTATTCATTAGCAGTAGTGGGAAGATCATGACCTGTTAGGGGGAAAAATTAGTCAGCTTAGTATTGAAAGTAGTAGTCATAAAGTTCTATAAAGTTTGTTGACTCTCACAGTGAAGAATGGATATTGAGAGGTTAAGTAAAGAGTGAAAAGTTTAAGAAACTTTAGCTTTAGAAACAATTGGGTTAGTGTATTTTGAGACTAGTTTGGACTGCCAACTTTAGGGATATTTAATTATTCTTTACTAAACGGGATTGAAAAGAGGATATTTAGACTTGAGATTTTCTTGGAAGGGTTATGATGAGATTGGAGAAGAGGAGTGGTACATGGTAGTGATGGGCAGAGGGTATGTTATGTCTTTGAGACTTTTCCTTGGGAAAATGTAATATTGAAATTATTGCACTGATTCAACTGAAGGTCTGATTCTTGCTATAGTGTGGTCTGTATGTCATTTCCCAACATCTCTATTCCCCCTTTACCAGTAATGGATATATTAAGGCATTGTAAGGGTAAACAGATGTTTATGGAAGAGTTAAGCTCCTCTTAATAGTCATTTTTGTCTTCTTTGTCATTCATAAAGTGTCCCAGATTTTGTGATTGTTTCTTTTTTACGCTGTTACATTTTGTAATTTATGAATGGTGTATGCTCATACTACAGTACTGCAGTACTCTAGTATCTTTTTTTCTTTAATTTTTTTTAAATATTTATTTATTTTTGAGACAGAGATAGCACGAGCTGGGGAGGGGCAGAGAGAGAGGGAGACACAGAATCTGAAACAGGCTCCAGGCTCTGAGCTAGCTGTCAGCACAGAGCCTGACACGGGGCTCGAACCCACGAACCGCGAGATCATGACCTGAGCAGAAGTCGGATGCTTAACTGACTGAGCCACCCAGGCGCCCCTACGGTACTCTAGTTTCTAAGGTTCTCCTCCCTCCAACCAATATTACTGAATTTTGTTATCTCCTTGTTTAGACTCTCACACCTATATAGATCTTGATTATTCGCCCTTCTTTTTCTTTTCAGCCTAGAGTCCTAACATTAGATTACTTTCACACGAAACCCATCCTTCCATGTTATTCATTCTGGTTGCTATTTTTTACTTTTGCATATAGTATGTGGTTCTTGATCAAGTAGTACAGAGTATTTTAGGTATAAGTGTACTGTAGCCACAGCACAGAGTTATAATGATAGGTGATATTTATTGTCCTCTATCTCTGTGTCTAGCTTGTGGTGTGTACTTGACACATTTTACCACATTCACTCTTCACAACAACCCTATGAGGTAAGTATTATTGTAAACCTCATTTTGCATTTTATAGTTAAAGGAATTAGAAAAGTTAAGTAATTTGTAAGTAATTGGGCAAGGTTAGGCAGCTATTAAGTTTAGGAACTTGGATTGGAATCTAGGCAGCCTGATTCGTGGTGGAGGATCCTGACTGTTGTCAAAGGTCAGAAGACCTGTATTTTAGGTATGGCTCCATTGCTTACTAGATAGGTGTCCTTACACATGGTACGTAATTTGTTTGCACCTTAATTCTTATATGCTAAATGTAGGAAAATAATTCATTCGCACCTCATGGGATTGTTAGAAGGATGAAATGAGATAATACATATGACAGATCTTTATAAAATAGTAAAGTTATGTTATCTATATATTTCATCATAAAATATTCAACAAAGATTTTCCCAAGCTCGTTATGTACCATACATTGTTCTGGGCATGGAAAACCTCAAAATAGGGTAACCAACTTAATCCTGGTTTTCTCAGAGTTCCATGTCCCAGGAATTCCCTGTATGATTTCCTACTGCTGCTGTAACAAGTTGTCAAAGAGTTAGAGCCTTGAAACAGCATACATTTATTATCTTACAGTTCTGGAATAAGTCTTAACTGGGCTTAAGTCAAGGTGTCAGCAGAATTAGTTCTTTCTTAAGTTTCTGAGGTAAAAGAATCTGTTTCTTGGGGCACCTGGGTGGCTCAGTTAGTTAAGCGTCTGAATTTGGCTAAGGTCATGAGTCATGATCTCCTGGTACGTGAGTTCGAGCCCTCTGTTGGGCTCTGTGCTGACAGCTTAGAACCTGGATCCTGCTTCTGATTCTGTGTTTCCCTTTCTCTTTCCTCCTCCCCTGCTCGCACTCTGTCTCTCTCTCAAAAATAAAGAATTAAATAAAATTTTAAAAAAGGAATGTTTTTCTTGAATCTTTTCAGCTTCCAGGGCTACCTGTGTTCTGTGACTCCTTCCTCATATCATTCCAACCTCTAGCTTCAATCCTCACATCTACTATGGACTGATCCTACTGCCACCTTTTACAAGCATTTTTGTGATTACATTGGGCCTACCCAGACAACCCAGGATTATATCCCCATCTCAACATCCTTAATTTAATCACACCTGCAAAGACTATTTTAGCATGTAAAGTCACATATTCAGGATTGGGGCTGGGACCTCTCTGGGAGGCATCTTGCAGCCTGATATACTGCCGTTGGTCCTGGTAAACTGGGAAGATTGGTCATCATCCTAAAGAGGAAAAAGATTTAATCTGTGCTTTAAGCAGTGAGTATTCAAAAAAATTTTGAGTGTGCCCCCCGCCCGTAAAACTACATGCCCATGTGCATGCATCTTTTAATGTGTGCTTGATTGTAAGTTATATGCGTGTGCCAATATGATATTCGTATAATAGAATACTCATAAGTTACATAAATTAGATGTTTAAAAAAGATGCGAAAAATAAACAATCTAATACTTTCTGTTAATAGTACTTTTTTATTCTCAAGTGATAATTTCTGGTGAGAGCTTTGTCATTGGCTGACTAGATTGTTTTACATCGTGATGTGGTTGAGGAATAGCTTGTACTAGTTAAGAGTCTTAGCCCTGTAATTTTTTTGTTGACTTCTGCTTGTGTAGTTATTTGCAGTCTTTGCAGGAATTTTTTTCAAAGCTACTTCTCAATGTTGTGAGAGTCAGTTTAGTTAAAACTAAATAGTATAACCCCTAAGTCTACTTAATTTGGCACATGTAAACACCAGTGCATCAGAATGTGCTGGAAGTAAATCCCACTGTTTATGGAACTTCTATTTTTTTACTTAGG